TATTGTACTCAAATTAATAATATTATTATTATTTACAAAAAATAATAAAAATAAAATAAATAATTTTACCTCAATATTATAAAAATAACAAATAAAAAGATCTCTAATGACAAGATATTCTTTAAAGTTGGATAGTTTTCTTAATTGGTCATGAAAAATAAAATAAGAGTTTAAATTTTTTTATAATTTTTTAATATTTAAATCGTTATAAAAATATTATTATCTTAAAGGAAGCTATTTTAGAAAGATTTTGTAGGCTAAATTTAATTTTTCATCTAACTATTACTCTCTTTTCATTTTAATCTAGAAAATTCAATTTCTTTTAAAATCATCTATAAAGTTTGAAATTATTTTAAATTTATCTATCTAAAAAACTGCCATTAGTTGTTTTAATGAAATCCCATGATATGCTTGCGTGCCACCAATTATCTGTCACGTATAGTTTTGGAAAATTACACTTTAATTCCAAAAACTTCACAAAATTTCTAATTAAGTTTTATATTCAAATCATTCTACTTTCTCAGCGATATTTTTTCTTTATTTTTTTTAATTTTAATTTTTGAATAAATTTAAATGTTTTAATTTTGATTAACAACTAAAAAATTCATCATTGTCATTATTAAGATAAAATTATATTATTTCTTTTTTTATTTAGTTCAAAAAATTAATTTTATTTGTAGTGTCTCTTTTTCAAAATAACTTTTATTTTTTTTCTCAAATTAAGAATTCGAAAATAATTTATGTTTACTTATATTACCTTTAAAAAGAAATCAAAGATGAAAAGAAATATTTTAAGATGGAATGATTAATTAAAGTAAATAGATAATACTAAGGTAAAGTAAAAAAAAATATTTGTTTACATCAAAAAATAAAAAAATAATTAATTTGAAATAAATTCGAAATTATAGAGTGATAATTATTTTGAAACAAATGGATTAAAGTTAAAATATACTCATTACATCTAGAATAATAAGCATTTTTTTATTTAGAATTTATCTTAAAATAATAATAATTTTTTTATATTTTAAAGGAAATAAATTTTTTATTTCTACTTTAATTTTAGGTTAAATACCCTTTTTGGTCCCTCTACTATTGGAAAAAGCCATTTTTTTGGTCCCTACATTGAAAAAAATCCCCTTTTTAATCTCTAAATTTCAGAATTCGATCCCTTTTTGGTCCTTTCGTCAGTTAAGTGACAAAGTGACACTATAATTTGTTAAATATTTTATCTTTTTTCTTTTCATTGATGATGTGTTATTACATGTTAATCAATATAATGCCATGTGGAAAAAATTGATGATGTGGACCAAAAAAATTTTTTTTCTCCCCAAAAATATTTGAAAAATACAATGCTTATAAAAATAATAATGTGAACAGAAGAAATATTAAATCATTATAATAATTTTAATTTTATTGGATTCATTTAATATATAGTATTTAATTTTTTATTTCCTTTGATTAAATTTAATAATTTTAATTTCTTTTTTTTTTTAGTTCCCTCTCCGGATATCAACTTCCTTCTTTCGAAATTCTTGTTTTTATTCATAATCAAAACTTAACATCTGAGATTCATCAAGATATAATTGAGAATTTACAAGAATATTTTCATTGATAAAAATAAAAATTAATTACTAAGTGATTTATCAATTCGATAAACTCTAACTTCTTCTCTACAAAATAAATCATTCTCTTCATAGTCAAACCCAAAACTTTGTGTCTCTAATTCAAAATTGAATATGAAACTTTGGTTTCATTAGATAGATACATTCAAAAAGAAAAAAAAAAAGGGGGGTAAGAACCTAGATCTGGGTTCCACAAGAAACCAAGGTTCTGGGATCCGCAACTCTATCTTCTTCTCTGCAAAATAGATCATTCTCTTCACTACCAAACCTAGAACTTTGTGTCTCTAATTCAAAATTGAATGTGAAACTTTGGTTTCATTAGATAGATACATTCAAAATTTAAAAAAAAAATGAAAAAAAAAAAGAGGGTAGGAACCCAGATCTAGGTTCCTCGTGGGTTTCACAGGGAACACAGAGTTGGGTTCCATGAGAAACCCAAAACCTAGGTTCCTCGAGAAACCCAGAAATTGAGTTCTGCGTAAAACCCAGAGGAACCTAGAACCTGGGTTTCCCAAGGAAGTTATGAT